AACACTAGATGAACAGCTATAGGTAGTGGCATTGGCATGAATGGTCTAGGTTAGCTGTGTGTAGAGGTTAATACAAATCAAGTTGTCTAAGTTTTTCATGTGTGTTCTAGTGATTTTATGTGGCTTACGTCATTACATCTCAGTGGTTCTAATGTTTAAGCCTAGTAGAGTACAAGACTGAAGAGACTACTTAATATAGTGGCTGGAATGATACTAGTTCAGTTGGTGAGAGGTTGCACGTTAGTTTCATTTTGTATCACTACAGTCCTTTCCAACCAAGATAGTTTAATAAGTATTGAAGAGGCCACCGGAAGCTTGTCGTGAATCGCGACTGCTGTGCAGATATGAGTCACCGGAAAATAGAACTAGGTTATACTAGGCTTGAGTACGGAACACTGCGAATCACAAACTGTATACGGCATGAGTGAGACTAGTAGAGTACAAGACTAAAGAGATTACTTAATATAGTGGTTGGAATGATACTAGTTCAGTTGGTGAGAGGTTGCACGTTAGTTTCATTTTGTATCACTACAGTCCTTTCCAACCAAGATAGTTTAATAAGTATTGAGGAGGCCACCGGAAGCTTGTCGTGAATCGCGACTGCTGTGCAGATATGAGTCACCGGAAAATAGAACTAGGTTATACTTGAGTACGGAACACTGCGAATCACAAACTGTATACGGCATGAGTGGAGACCAGTGATGCATGAGCGATATATGTGATGCAGCACACGGCTGACACGCATCGGCTTCTTTTGGAACGCGCAGCGATTCATTGAACTGTCTGTCACGTAGCCAATGTGTCTCAAAGCGTCGAAAGCAAAAAAACAAAACCAAAAAAACAAAAACCAAAAAAACAAAAAAAAACATTCTTTCAGAACTCTCCCATTCGTGTAAATTTCTAATGTTATTCTGGAAGAGCGCTGAAATAATGTTTGTTTTTGCTTTTTTTGTTATTTTTGGTTTTGATTTTTTGGGTTTTGTTTTTTTTGTTTTTTTTTGGTTTTGGTTTTTTGGATTGGATTTTATAGATTTGTTAAAGGAAAGGGGCTGGTGTTTCTCAGGGTTCGAATTACGACAACGCCCCTAAGCGCCAGAGTTCATCGTGATGTCGTAGAGGCGGCGGACCTGAAATATGCAAAACGCAGGGGTCGAGTTCGGCCCCCGAACCCACATCCACAGACCTCTACACATAGAAATACTCGACGTCCTCTCAGACTCCAAGCCTCGCCAGCCAGCTCTTTTGTGGCTGAGACTGGGACCAGCAAGCAGAGAGCCTCCCAGCGGAAACTTTGGCTTCATAAGCCCAGGGTGTATAACACATTTTTTTACTGACGAAGAATACGAGGCTGGGTGTGCACATTAAGGCGTAATTGCTTCTCAAGGTTGTGAGATACTGAGGCTAGGCAGGGACATGGGCTATATGCAAACAGCACCGCGAGTTCTCTATGTCAGAAACCTGAGACTCTGATCATAACCGCTGTTACAAATTTGTGTGGCAGTGTCACCCTACGGCGAGAAACTCAATGAATGTACACCGATGGAAGCCTTGCCCTGCTTGCAGCGGAAATCAAATGTGTCCTTCAGCTGAATGTGCTTGAAGTTGCAGAGCGCTGACCCTGGAATGCAAGACCCCACCACTGTGCCTCTGCGGCGGCAACCCGCAGCGGGGCGGGCCTTGTGAGTGAGAGGAAGCTCAGCGTGGCCTGGAGGATGCGGAGGTCGATGACTTGCTTAGGGTTAGGAGTCGGCTAAGAACATCTAGGCTTGCTCTGGCCTTCATGAGCTCTGCGTTGCCTGGCAGTAGGCCTGCTGCAAGCCGGATCAACTCCACCAGTTGGCTTCGTGAAGGGCCCGAACTTCCAGGACAGGCCTGCGCCCGAGCACTGCCAATGCTCCGCGATCTGCCCGAAGCAAGAGAGAAGCTCCGCGGTGACATCTGCAGCAAACGCTTGCATTGCCATGGGCTTCATGGAGTTGTGAGGCCGCCAGGCCCGTCGCGGGGGCTCAAAGCAATGGCCGTCTTGAGTTTCAAGCTCTGGTGCTTTGGTGCGCAGGCAGAGATTTGAGAGCATTGTCTTACTTCTTGCCTCGGCCAAGGCCTAGACTAGAACCCTGAACCGACGATTTTCGGGCCTGGTCGGCGGCAAAGGGCAAGGAGCTGCGGTGCAACCGCGGCAAAATTGCCTTCAACAAGCTGATCGCTTACAGTCGGGGTGGGTGTCGAGCTTTCCAGCAGTATCTTACCAGTGCATTCGGGCGTTTAAACTTCCAGGATCTCAGGCACGCCACTCGAATATACTGTGGAAAGCCCACGCGGCGCCCCAGTGGGATAAAGACTCGAACGCGACATCTAAGGATGAAAAATGAAAAGGCAAATCTCAAACCGACATCAACCAATCCGCTCTGCCCAGTTGCTGCAAGCCAGCTTCGCTGCACAAAGCCTCGAGACGCAGCTTCGAACAACTTGTGTCTGGTCGGGGCTCGCAACTCGCGAACTTAGATGGTACGCTTGCAAAGCTCAGGCGTCAAGACTTAAAAAGCTGCACAAGGAAAATCCTGCTTCGCTCATTCCTACTCAACCCCACTCGTTGAACTATGTCTGCTATCCTGCACTCCAGGGCTGGAAAAGTAGATCGTTTTGGTTGACCTCGTATAGTTGGACCTCTGTTCGTCTGCACAGCTTGAACTCCTACCTTGTGGCATAAACTTACCATACGGTTCGCTCTTTGCTACCTTTAGAAACAGAGCCCTTTATCTCTGCAGCACCGGGCACGCAGCACCCCGACGCAGCGCCGCGTCGGACGAATCAGCCAGAGCCTGGCAATCTGCGTGGAAAGAAACCAAAACTCAGAAGGACTGGGCCCAGGGTTCCGAAGGTGAACGAGCTTTGCGACCGAGCGATCGTGGCTGTGTGTGACCGTCACTTGGTGGCTTTTATACCCCTTACAGTTTCATCAAAACTACCATCCGTGACATTTCCTGCGATGCTCGGATCAGTGGCAGTTCCTTTGCGGCGCGTTCCGCGGCACAAAGCTTCTTTCTGACGCGCGTGGGGCCCGAACACTCGAGGAAGCCAGCAAGCCAAGAAGCCAAAGAGCTAGTGAGGAACTGAGGAACAACACAGTTCGAGATTGACACCGCGCCCGAAAAACAAGAAACACCTGCAGATAGTCCACACGCTCTCTAGCTTTTTCTCGGGTAGTGCATTTCGGAGACTCTTCAAAGGCCTATGTGGGATTCCCTACCCGCAAGCCTGCAGCACCGGGCCCTGCAGGGAGCCCTCCACGCCGCGCACTGGCAGCCTGCTGGCGGAAGATGTGCGTCAGTGTGACAATCCTGCCTATTTTCCGTAGACCGCTGGTGTTGCAAGTAGGCGCAGAGGCGGTGATCCGTGCACGGCATCATGCGATGTATCAGATCATGTGAGATGACTGCAGAGCCTGACTGCCAACATGCTGGTCAGTGCTGGCCACCATGTGGCTGGCAATCAGATACCCTGTCGTCCAAGGCCAAGCTACGTGTTCTTCAGGAGAAGTGCGGCCAGCTGGCGTGCCTGCCAGATATAGTCCAACTCCAGACAACAAGTGGCTGAACTGCTTCGCTTCTTCTTGTCTAGCTCGTCAAGCTGTTTGCGCTTAAGCCGCTCACGTACCTGCGCTGGTCGGCTCGCGTCGCACATGGCGGCAGCACAAGAAGCAGCAAAGCCTGCCTGGAGGAAGCTCTGCCAACTCTAGCGCCTCTGGAATCCTAGCTTTGCAGAGACGAGAGGCTTCACAGCAGGCATCAGCAGGTCGCGAGGCTCGGAGATAGGGAGATAGGGATAAGTAACCCAAAGCCACGGGATCCAGCTGCCGGTGCTCCAGAAGCTGCTGCTCTGCGGCTTGACGAGCCTATCAGGCTCAGCATTTTCGAATCTTACCTAGAACACGCCAAAGGCAAAGGCTGTGCTTGTTTCACCTCCTGGCAAACCCACACCTACATCGAGACCCCAACCCAAAATCACTCAATTGAAAGAAGGCATGTCTCTGAATCATTGTGTCCAGGAGCCTGCGCATCTGTAGACAGACAGTGCAGCAGCTTGTCGAGGGCCGCCATGGCAATCCAACAGCGGAGCTAGAACATCACAGAGGACGTGCACTACCACTCAAGATCACTCGTCGGGACACTTCAAAATGAGGATAGAGCAATGGACCTGAATTAGGAGAATTGCCCAGAATTTCTTCCTCTGGCACGTGCAAGTGTTTCGCAAAATATCTGGGTCCCTGGACACACTGTGTTTCCAGGCATGTGGGTCCAAGACCTGAAATGTAAGAGATCGACTAGGACAGCCGTTGGTACGCCTGTTGCCCCTAGTCTAGTGGCGCCTTCTTGTGGTTGGAAGGCGTCGCCCGACGGGCAAACTACGGCGGGTGCTCACTGAGTATCCCTAAACACCGATTCCCACAGACCACCCCGTCAGCCCGACCAAAGAACAAGGTTTAGAGAGTTTAGAGGTCTTAAGCACTCGACCGGTAACAAACCACAAGAAAGCTCCACGAAACCTTAGACCCTAAACCTCAAAACCCTTGCAGAAATCTGCTATCCTCAGGGCTTCGGGCTGCAGAGATTTTTGGGGGAGCCTCAGGGTTTCGGGCCTCTGTTGTGGAAGTTCCTGAGAGACGGAAAGGATTGCGGGGTTTAGGCTCGGAAATGGGTGCAGGCTGTTTAAAGCACCTGACAACCCAAATGCTACACGTGTTCTTGAACAAGCCTGCACCCTGAGCCTGTATCCCACAAAGGCCCAAACCTCAAACCCCCATACCGCAACAAACAGCCTAGATCCCAATTTGCAAAACCTCAAACACCAAACGTGCACCCTAAACCTAACATAGAACTCTAACCTCAATCCCGTACCCTGTTCTTCTGGACCACAGCAGGTGACGGGAAGCTCTCGTGAGGGTGGGCCCGTGGCATAGATATGACTCATGACATCCAAGCCACGCAGCCTGGGGACCCGGCCGGTGCCTTTCCTTCGTCTGAAGCAGCTTTGCGAACCATCTCGCCTCGAATCTGTTTATCAACGCCAAGATGATCCGAGATGTATGTTGCAGTGAAGACTTCCGGAAGGCTTCGGCAGACTCCACAGACCTGTCACAGTCCATGCGTCCAAAACCAGACGAGAAGCAGATGGCCACACGTTCCTGGCATCACAGGTCGTCGGAGAAGGAGTAGGAATAGGACTGTCAGTAGCGTATCATTATGCTCCATGTCCGGTCTGGCACCGGAAATCTGTCTGACTGAGGTCCTCCGCAGGGAAAAGATTCGGAATCTCCCCCGTGTTGAGCAGGTTGTTTACGTCCTCAACGAAGCCTTCGTCCTGCATGGAGACATGCAGATACATGCCGGCCGCTGGCTGAAACTACACGTTGCAGCCACTCCATCCGACGTCTAAACTCAATGCAGTACTGCAGCTGAACCTCACCTTTGTCCGTGTATATAATCTGGAATTACGCATTCGTATACGTCACAAAGCAAGAAGCAGAAGCTGCATCGAGTAGGTGTGTGCTCAAGACTTGTGGCGCACTTGGGAGCCGTCTGAGGCAAGTCGATGTACACCTGACGCAAACGCTGCACCTTGATCTGAGTGTCGCTGAAGAGGAAGACCGTGTGCTCCTCGCTACCCCCAGCTTTGGTCAGCATCTTCTTCATATCCTGGGATGTGCTTGCGAGATCTCCACAAAATCGTGAAATGGGGATGCACATCCTGACCCGTAAAACTTGCAATCGGCATCGGCATTTTCCAGCTCTCACATCTGCTCTTGTGCCAGCGACTATCAAGAGAACACTCCGACACTTGGTGGGGCTGCCAGCAAGGGGTTAAATGGAAAGAGTCCATTCCTGGACTGGAACGTGCAGGCTTAGCTGGACCTTTAGGTCTCCGTAAGTTACAGAGCCCCCAACGAAGAAGCCTTTCGAAGATCAGGAAGTCCACTGTACCATCTCAGAAGCCCGAACCCTCAAAGAGCCCGAAACACCCGCTACAAATCCACTGGCAGCTTCGCGCGGCCAAAGCTTAGCTGCCCCTGGCCGAGCCCCCGGCTTCACGGAAGGCATTCATGTCGTAGCCTTTCGTAATCTCGATTTGGAAGACTGTGAAGTCGGACATGTAGCATGCCTGGAAGAACAAGCAGAAGCACCGCAAAAAAAACAGCTGGACCACGCCAACTGCTGCGACATTTCTCATCCTGCACCAACATGCGCATCACCAGGACCATTGGCATCTTCGCATTCATCTTTTCCATTGATGAAGAGACATCCACAACTCTTTGGGAGCGCAGTATTTCCCAAATGCATAGGCTCGTGCCACTGACGAAAATCACACGAACATGAATGCACTAAGCTAAGTGTAGATGCGAACAAACCGTACAACCACAATGCATAACCGCCCAATCATACCCTCAAGATCAAATCTCAACTAAGACAGTATAGCCTGTGTGGAACTAGCAGCAACAATGACCGTGATGCGCAGACTGACTGCTAAACACACACCCACACAGAGAAAGAAGAATGGGCAGCCGGCCAAGCGCGTGCAGCTTTGTCGTCCACTGCCTCCGACGCCCACCTTTGAAAAAAGGTCTTTGGGCTTGAGAGCTGTAAAGAGAGTGAAGTGCGGTTTTGCATGACTCATGAAGTTGACTTCAGGTTCCACGGCTTAGGCTGAGGATACCTGAGCAGCGCAAATTGTCCGATGTGCTGAGAGAACAAACCTCCCAGCAACATCATCTTCTCTCATGTGAGACCGCAAGCCAAGACCGACAAAATAGCAAAGCCGTCATGAAAGTTGGCGTCATGGCTTCCGTCGGCACGAGTTCTGCACGCTGCTGGCGACAAGCAGGGGCCGCGGATAGATTATCACAGACCAGCAAAGGCATCGTGGATCTCTACGCAGTCTAGTTGCCGCATCTTGCCGCCTAGACCCTTCTGGGCAGACCACGAGCAAGGCATTGCCACCCGGGCTTTTGATGACGCGAGCGACCCGAGCCAGGTGCTCCAACCTTTCTCAGGAGACCGTAAGAACAAACACCTTCAAGCTACAAACACAAACGCCTGCTCTTCTGAGCTTGCCAGGAGTTATTGAAAGCATTTTAAGCTTTTAAGCCAAGGCTTGGGACTCTCGTCTGCGCCGCTCCATGCTTGAGGTTTGATTCAGGCTCCTTCAAGCTGCTGGCTGATAAGATGGGCTCGGTTCAAAGCAGTTGGAGATCTAACATGGAGAGGGACTTCATACTTCATAACGGATACTGGATGTGGAATTATGCGCAACAGATATATGTGTGTGTGTGTGTGTGGGGTGTGTGTTTGTGTGTGTGTGTTTGTGTGTGTGTGTGTGGTGTGTGTGTGTGTGTGTGTCTCTTTCTGTCTCTGTCGGTCTTTCGTGCTTGCCGGCCTGCCTGTCTACATGCAAGTATGTACGCACGTATGCAACATGTGCGTGTGATAGACATATACATATACTTATATGCTTACGCCCCCCCCCCCCCCCATGATCCATACTATGCTTGCTTTTGGTAAGCAGTGGATCATGGGAGGTGGGCAGCTTCAGATGCTAAAACACTGCCAGGCTCGAAAATCCCTAAAATTCCTGAAGCCTGAAGTGCGAAAACACTGGCAGGGATCAAAAATCCCAAAAATCACCAAAATATGAGAGACTATGGCCCCGCACTCTGCATAGTTGCCATGATTTTGGGAATTTTGGTGATTTTCGATCCCTGCCGATGTTTTCGCATTTCAGGCCTTACAAATTTTGGGGATTTTCGAGCCTGGCGGCATTTCGTCAACGTCGGATGCTAAAACACTGCCAGGCTCGAAAATCACCAAAATTCCTGAAGCCTGAAGTGCGAAAACACTGGCAGGGATCAAAAATCACCAAATCCCGAAAATCTGAGAGACTATGGCATACTATGGCCCCGCACTCCGCATAGATGCCAGGATTTTGGGAATTTTGGTGATTTTTTTAATCCCTGCCGATGTTTTCGCATTTCAGGCTTTACAAATTTTGGGGATTTTCGAGCCAGGTGGCATTTGCTAACCTTGGATGCTGTGTTCCTATTATGTCTTAGTTTGTCACATGTATACACATGGCACATGCTTTGTTGTCATGCCATGTCAAGGTGCGGTATGTTCCACGACATATCCGTTACAGTTCTCTCCCGAGTGAAAGTCATCGTTTGTGTCCGTCCTTTCCCCTTTTTCAACATGATCCGCGACGGGGGTGACGTATCCTTGCAAGATGCTCTCGATGCCACCAATTCCTTGAGATATTGTATCTAAGCACACCACACCCGACGACAATCTGTAAAGTAAAACATTTGCAGTAGATATACAACATATACTTTGACATGCCATGTACTGAGGACGCGTGCACCAGACGTGCGGCACATGAGTTACGTAATAGTTTTGTGGAAGTATCGATATTAGGATGAGTATTGTTATTAATATTAGTACTAGTGTTTGCTGTAAGTATACATGTCAATATTAGTAAATATAAATTAGTTTTAGTGCTCATGCTCGTGTTAGAGTTAGCGCTAGTGCCAGTGTCAATGTCGGTAATACAGCACCACTGCTAGTATCAGTGTCAGTCTCAATGCTGGGTTTAATCGCAGCTGATATTCGCAGAAGTGCTAGTATTTGTATCAACATTAGAACTAGGTTGGATATGTTAGTATATTGATAGTTTCGTATAGTAGCAGACTAGTAAAATCTAGCATATCAATACATTAATGTATTCGAACAGTAACATATTTGTATTCTTGTATACTAGTATATTTGATATGTCAGTACAACTGGTGCATGAGTACACTAGTATATTGGTGTATTAATTTACTACTATATTCATTCATTGTTTAGTCATATGTACAAGTGTATCAGTATGTTGGTACATAAGTCTATTAATTTGTCATGTCGGTATACTTGCATATTGCAGTAGTCGTATATTAGTATACTCCCATATTAGTATAGTATATTCATACAACAACGAGAAGTATATTGTTACATTGGTATATGGGTATATGTTTATGCCAAAACATTAGTACATGAATGCACTAATGTATATGTCTGTATCTTAAGATAGTTGTATGTAATTTTATGTACATTAGAATATGAAGGTGTTTATTAGTAAAAAGATTGGTATTCATATCAATGCGAATATACTGTTGGTATCCGTAGGAGTATTAATGTTGATATTAGAACTAGGACTATTCATAGTCGTATCAGCCACAATATGAATGTTCATGCTGGTGATAGTACTGGCATTCTTGAATATTCAACAGATGATCAATATCCGTATCAGTGTTGGTGATAGCATTACTGTTAACACCGCAAGAGTTTAATGTACTCGTACGCGTAGGAGTATCAATACTATTGCAAATATTGATGTAAGTATGAATATTGTGATAAGTATTAGTAATAGTGTTAGCGTTATAATACTATAATATTATGAACACACTTGAAGTATGTGTCACGCTTCCCAAGCAATCAGGCAATGACCAGGAAAATTCGAAGCTGCCAGTTTGAGTATTGGAATCGGCACCAAAACATGTGGATAGTGACAGGCAACATGTTGAAGTTTTTGCACAACCACCGGTGGTGCCTCCTGAAACATGGAGTGCCAGGTTTTGGATGGAAGAGTGGAGCCCGAAAGTGAAATCAGAATCCGTTTCGGGTTTCGTGGGGATATAACACGTGAGAACAAATGATAAAATGTAGAGTTAAGTAGATGTTAGGTGCAGAAAATACCGCAAATATCGATGATTTTGTATGTAGGTGAAGTCATGTATATATCGAAGCGTGAGCAGCAGCAGGTAAAAAAACCATGGTATGGATCATGGGGGGGTGTGACCACTTATATGTTCATTCATCGTTCCAGTATTTACGCACACAGGTGTGTGTGTATATATATATATACATGTATAACTATGCACCTGTTGATGATTGTTTACCTTGTTTGTATATGTATACGTACGTATATATGTATGGTCCCCCCCATGATCCACCCCAGCCTTCTTGTCAATACTCCTGCGCAGTCTTCTTTCCCAAAATGCTGAGTCTTAGAGCCCGAATCTATCGGTATTTACGGTGTGTTCTGCACTTCATGTACATGTCTACCTGACAGTTTTTTATCCCTTTATATCATAAGTAAACAAGCCGAAACCGAAACCAGATTCCGGTTCTGGATTTTGGAATTTGTCGAACCAATTAAAATGTAGTTTGAATAGACACAGCTGTTCTTCTCTTCATAGCATAATAAGGGGTAAGGACAACTCCTTCAGTGAAAACAAACATGCCAATGGTAGGTTTGGCTCACTAGCAAGAGTGTAACCACACTAAACAGAGGTGTTGCCCATCAGACATGGAAAGGAGCCTCCATGTACCTTCAAGGGAACCTAAGACAACTTTATATCTTCAAGATTTCAACAGACAAGGGAAGCATGGTTGTTCTTTTTCAGGTGGTGTTGTCATTAGAAATCTTGTTTCAGCACAAACAAACACAATAAGCCACCTTAGCCCATTATCAGTCGCTGGAACTCAGTGGCTGGAACTCAACGAGCTCTTAGTTTAGTGAAAGAAAGGATCTCCCTGCACCAAGCTCCAAATACATTCGGTCACACGCAGAGTATATTGAGCGTATTACGCTTTATGCTTCGTGGGAATTAAGACAAGCATGTATCTGGAAAGCATTCGTTATTCTTCTGAACACATTTGCTGTTTTTCTGATTAAGAAGATGCAAGACGATCCTGGCTCAGAACACATAATCGAGCTCCGTTGGACCGCGCTAGTCGCAAGAGTGATATAGCTTTTGCCATCCTTGAATACAGCATGAAACAGCTCCAGACCTCTCTTCATAGCCTCCGAGAAATGGTGGAAACACATCTTTTCTCATTATGGTTTAAGGAAAGCAATAAAACACTTGACTTGCCTGTGGAGCCAGGTTGACCTTGACTCGGTTATGATTTTGCTCCACGAGAGAAGAGTTAGTACCGCCAGTAGTCGAAGCAATTGAAAGCTCATGTACCAGGTTCCCCAGTGTCGCCTGAATGGTATCTTTTTTCCTGGTATTGAGTTTGAATAAGGGAACCCCAAAGTAATAAGGCAGGACAGTACCATTGGGGAACTCACTTTATATGTAATGATATGAAATATCGGAGCTTATCAGCTTCTGAAGTTCGTGAGGTACTATAAAATACAAGAAAAGCTTCTTCTTTGTTCAAGCAACGGGCAAGAATTTAAACGGTTAGCAAGATCTTACTTCGATGCAGAAACAAGAACTCGACAGTATCTAAACATGATGTACAATTCAACGAACATGTGCCTCCGCATAATAAAGCATCGACAAACACAGGGAGGTTTCAGTATTATAAAATACAACTGTTCTTCTTTTTCTTTTATTGAGCAAAGGTGATCTTAACAACAGCTAGGAAATTGTTTGATGAAAGAAGCAAGAGCACAGTTCGGAACTGAAGCAATTGAAGGCTCATGTATGAGTACATGGTACGGCTGTTCTTCTATTACTCTTGCATTTCAGGTTTCAGGAATCTCGGAGTTTCGAGCCTGGCAGTGTTTTCCGAGGTTGCCAAAACATCGTCAGGCTTGAAATTCCCCAAAGTTTGCAAAGGCTGCAATGCGAAAACCTATCTTTGGGTGCCATCAGACAGCTTTATGAATTTTGGGGAAATTCGAGCCTGGCGGTGTTTTCGTATCCAAAGTTGCCAAAACACGGCCAGGCTCGAATTTCTCCAAAGTTTGTGAAGCTGGAAGTGCCAAAACATCGTCAGGCTCCAATTTCCCAAACATCCCCAAAATCCTGGCATCTATGAGGCGTGCGGGGCCGTAGTTGCTGAGATTTTGGAAATTTTTGGGGAAATTGGAGCCTGTCGATGTTTTCGCATTTCCAGCTTTGCAAACTTTGGGGAAATTGGTGCCTGGCGGTGTTTTCGCATCCGAGGTTGCCAAAACACCGCCAAGCTCGAATTTCCCCAAAGTTTGCGAAGCTGGAAGTGCCAAAACATCGCCAGTTTCCCAAACATCCCCAAAATCCTGGCATCTATGAGGCGTGCGGGGCCGTAGTTGCTGAGATTTTGGAATTTTTTGGGAAATTGGAGCCTGTCGATGTTTTCGCATTTGCAGCTTTGCAAACGTTGGGGAAATTGGTGCCTGGCGGTGTTTTCGCATCCGAGGTTGCCCACCTCCCATGACCCACTGTTTGCAACAAGCAGGTTGGGGTGGATCATGGGGGGGAGGGGGGGGGGGGGGGGGGGGGCGTGAGCATATGCATATATGAATATGAATTATGCATATATTATTATATATGTATTATGTATATATATATATGTATATATATATATATGTATATATATATATGTATATATATACACACACATATACACATACATATACATACATACATACATACATACATACATACATACATACATATATATATATGTATGCAAGTGCATATATATGTATGTATATATATATATATATATATATATGCATGCAAGTGCATATATATATATGTATATACACAAATTTAACAGGTAATGTTGCTTATTTAGATCGGTGTTTTTATGTACTTGTGTATGCACTTTTCTGTAAAACTACTGACTCATCTCATTTATAAAACGGGGAGCGAGGGAGGGACGGACACGGACAGAGACAAAGACAAAGGGAGCGCGAGAGCGAGAGCCAGCGAGCAAGGGAGGGAGATAGATTCGCCAGAATTTCTGACAGTTGCAGCAGCTAGGGTCTGTATGATCATCCTACTGGCACTGGCACTGCTGATTTTGCTCGTGGATTGAGTCCACTCGAGGAATCTCGACGGCTAGAAGGAATTTCCAGGAAGCACAGGAAAGCTTGAATTTTTACATTGGCACAAAACGAAGGGGGTCAGCCGAATTTCAAGCGGATGTCAAGTTTACGTCCGAAGTCCTGCATGCAAACAAGGGCACATGTATAGGAAGCACACGAGGTCCATGGGCTTGGAGGACATCTCGTTGTAGCTGACGAGGTGAGCTTCAATCTCCTCCGAAGTCGGTCGACTCATCGGTCTTTCTGGCTGTTGGGGCTGCTGGGGCTGCTAGAAGCTAACGAAGTCCTTCTGAAGCACCAGCACATCAGGACACCTGGAAGATGCAAACGGTCTATTGCTGCAGCTCTTGTGGGGTAGCAGGGCTGTGCAGCAACAGGGCATGCTCGATATTTACAGCAGCAATCTCTTTGACTCTTTGAGATACCAAGACTAACTCAGACTACCATGCCAAATACTTCTCATCAAGAGGACCAACGACAAAGCGCTACGTGTCGACCTTGAGTTGAAGGTCACAGCCGAAATTCACTGCTCGCGGCCGTCTGTAAGCGTGGAATACGATGCATTGGACTCGGGTTGCCATCTGTTGGGACTCATGGTACGTTTGGCACACGATGGGCAGCTGCGAACCAAATTCCCCACTCGGCACCCAGGCCCAGTGCAAGTCAGCAACGTCCTTTGACGACAATGACTCAGGTGCGGAACTCAAGACCAGTAATGCAGGCTTTGCAACCGAGGAACTCTGCGTACGGACGCATGGGGGCCGCGGCAGGCGAGAGCATATCACCGAAGAAAAGCGTCCGGATCTGTGCAGTGGTCTCTTGGTTTGGATGACGGGTGCGCCAACCACCACCCATGGCGAGTTCGTCATGGTTTATGCCCTCTCTAGTTTACGTACAACAAGCAACGGTCACCAACTGGGCCCCAACGTAAAGTGCAACTTCGGTTGCTTCATATCATTCATATCCTTTACGTCAAACGACCCTCGTCTCGATGCCCTCCATTGTAGTCCCCGCAGATAAGCTGGCAGCAAGTAACTACGTAGCAAAGGCCATCCATCTTCGATGAACCTGCTAGACCTAGTGTTCGTCTGCTTGCTGATTCAACACATCTGGTCGTAAGTGTTACTAAACGCAATGCTGCTTCACAACGATCGAGCCGGGCCTCATCCAAAGTATTCACCTGCAGGGCCAAACAACGGGTTGCCCAACGAGGCACGTTCTTTCTCGGTTGTAATCTCTTTATCTCTGGGGTTTAGGGCCCTAGTCACGAGCCCGCACGGCCCGTTGTTGGCGGTTTGAGGAGCCGACAGCAGTGAGAGCGAGTAGAAGTTGCCTGGTCTTATCCCTGTTGACTATTGCTTTTCTTCTCTCCGTCTCTGTCTCCGTCCCGGTCCCTCTTTCTCTCTGTCTCCCTCTTCTATTTGTCTATACGTGCGTGCGCTTGAACCTCCTTCTTGTTTGCACACAAGAGGCTGATTAACCGATATGCTTGTACTTCCCGGCAATAGCTAGGTACAAAAATTATGCTGTAGTATGCATAATATGTGCTTTTAATATACACATGCGCACACCTGTACACCAACACGCTTGAAGCTGCTAATACTGCTGCTACTTCTGCTGCTCGTAGTTGCTGCTGTGGCTCCTCCTTCTACTGATGACTTTATTAGTATAGTGTTCCCTTGAAAAACCAGCGGCCTTCCCATCCGAATTTCCATCGAGGTGGCTCATAATCTCATCAAACGAGACCTGCGCCGAGATGGTGAAGCTTTGAAACATGCCGCAGCGGACGGCAATCCATGTGATGCTGCAGCCTTACTATAGACACCCCAGGCATCTGCGGATGAACGAACAGGAGTGTTGCTACCTTGCCGTCTGTTCGCCTGGAGTTCACAGACAGGCTCTGAACCTCCTGCACATGCTGTCTAATGGTGACTGTATACATGTCTGGGGTTCACCGCGAATCTGAAGGCTTGCCCTTATTTCCCAAGTCGTGTCTGCAAAGCATTTGCCATTTTCGCATGGGGCGGTTGTAGTACGGCGCAGGCTCACAGAAGCCATGGCAGCATCTCACTCATCGTCCATCTCAACCTCGAACCTGGGCTCATTCTGCTCATTGTTTTGCAGCCGATTGCAGGCAAAGCAGAACTGAAGGGTATTGAGGCGGCACAGTCAGTCTGCGGCAAAGGGGCTGAAGGCCAGCTTCCGGAAGATCGGAAATGCCGGCAACAATCTTGTCGCCGGCCTAGCGAAAAGCTTCGCCAACGCAGCAGCTGAGGTTTGAGGGATGTGGGATGCCGCACAGGAAGACAAAGCCGCAGAATCGATATCGTATCATGAGGCGGTGGTGCATCTGTCCGACACCTGTCGATCCTGCTTTGGGGAGTGTGGAAGGGGGGTGTTCTGCCAACTAGCCTGAGCGACAAACGACTCATTACCTTTGCATGTCATGCCCCAAATAGAAGAAAGAGCCTCAATCGGTCCCACTCCGTCTGGCGTTCCAGTCCTCAGCAGCAGCATTCGCTTGACATCAGAACTCGTTTCCAAAAAGACTCTAACTACGCAGAGCGCTGGGAAACCAATAAAGCCCCAAGTCCAAGTAAGACCGCCAAAGATGAAACCTGAAAGCCCTAATGTTCGAACTCCAAAACCTTAAGCCTGAAACCAGCCCTCCCGAGTGCCATCGGAGCCGCAGGATGACGTCCCCACATTCCAGGGTAAAGATGGAGCTGATGTGGGAGATGAGGCTTGGAATGGTGAAGACCATATCCTGGCTTCTGGCGCTCGTGTTTAACTTGATCCTGCATCTACGGCTTGAAAGCTGGGGCTGCAGGGTCACGACGATCCTCTTTCTGCAATGCTTTGAGTGTCACAGACCAGCAAACGCTGCACTGTAGAGCTAGGCATGTGTGTTTAGTTCAAGAACTCCGCCCGGCCTTGGTGTTGCCTCGCTGCCTGCTCTCACACCATGGGTTTGCAGAGACGGTCGCTTTGGAAGGACAAAGAAAAGGAGTCTAGAGTCTCGATTCTCCGACTCCTGGCGAATTTTGAGGGGGAGTCGAATGCCTGCTACAACACTCAGCCAAACACCCATCACCTCAGAACCCAATTGGACTTGAAACCCCAGCCATCGCGGCCTCTCCACGCCATTGACCTGGCAATAAAGCTCCAGGTTTTGCGGATCCTTCACCAAGCTCTTGTCAATGAAACCACCCACGGGTGTAAAGTGGTCCTCGGGAAAAATCGCTTGGAGCTTCAGGGGTTAAGCACTGAGGGACTCTGGGGTCGGACAGCTGGGGATGAAGGCTGCAGGCCAGTCAGCCAGTGTCGCACACAGTTTGGCCTATCGAAGAAGATCATATACCCCGAGGTATTTACAGTGATTGATACTGATTGTCTAGACTCTAGACGCGCAAACTTTGCAAGGGACTTTTTACTGATGCAGATTCTGAAGCAACTGCAGCATCCTTTCCAACAAGAATATCCGCCGAGGCCGCATCTTTCTCCCTGCAGTCTGAAAGTTTGGAACCACCCGCTTTTGCATTTCCCACCTCCCCGCCCGCCCGGCACCCCTGCTTTTTCAGCCCTCCTCGCCCTCCCTTTTTTAAAATTTTTTTGTGCACCTGGTTTTCCCCCCCCTCCACCGCCTCCCCCTTCCCCCCCTTCCCCACTGCCCCCCCCCCCCCACGGACAGAGTCCTCCCCCGTCCCTTGCCCCCTTCCCTCCCGCTTCTGCATCCTCTCGAGTTCTGTCATCGAGCTGGTTTCTGGCAAGCCGAGGCGGGCGGCGTAGCGTTAAAATGGTTAGAGATCCACGCTGTTGCACCTGCGGAACACAAATCAAATCCAAAAGGTGGATCAACTCCTTGCAACACTGAACATTCTGGCTATCGTCGATGCAGCACCCAGCAAGCCATGACCACCTGCGCTCTTGAGAAGTGATGAATCAAGCCCAGGAATACCATCCTAGCTAGCCAAAACTGCTACGACTGCTGCTGCTGCTGCTACGACTACTACTACTACTACTACTACTACTACTACTACTACTACTACTACTACTACTACTACTACTACTATACTGATACACTACTACTTCTTCTTCGTTGCGCAAACGTCTGTTGACGTCCCTGCGTGGCTTTGGTAGGTACAAGGGCATGTCTATGACATGGCTGATCACGCAGCAAAACCCTAAAGTTGCGACTGCCGCAAGTACATTATCATAAGAGAAAGGCGTGCAAGCCCTCACCCGGGCCGTTAGCCCTTTTAAGCAGTGAGGAGTCGAAAGAACCACATGTTGACCGCTGTACTGACTGTGGTGATGCATCGTTCTGCAACTGTACACTACAGCATTCGCTCACAGCTTTCATTCACTCAGTCAACAAAGCTCTCGCATGTGCATTCTGGTAGTACTTCGGGAGTGCTGTCCAACATGGGTGCTGGTACCTGTCAAAACGAGGCACCTGCTTACAGGCAGAAGCTGGATGCTGGTTGCTTACCCATCTCACTGAATGAAAACATTCGCAAACAGGAAGCAAGAGAGTCTTTTGTGTCTGCTCATCGTGGCTTCTTCCCCTGCCGCGACAAGCATCTTTAGACGATGAGCTTCATGCCCAGTTGTGTGAGCACCTGCCTGTCCTTTTCAGAGAGCCACTCCGGATTGCGTACATGATACGATCCAAGGATGAGCCTGTCTCCATGCCATGGAAGCACTGCATGTTTGCGACGAGCCCAAAAAGACGTATACGGCAATGTGATAGGCTTGATGACTCCCTTTGGACCTCCAGGCGCTAGCTGAAAATCTCCATCCGCTGCTGCAACAAATAGCTCCCCTCCGGTAAAGCTGCTGAGTGGGACAAGAATGTTTTCTACAGCTGCATGATTGTGAGGATCTGTATGCAAGCCAGATGGAACATTGAGAGCCATGAAAACGGTACTGTAACGACCATGATTGTGCACTGTAGCCAGGACCTTGCAAAGAAGCTTGACGACGTATGGGAACGCAAAGCTGGTGCTCATGACGCCGATGGTACCTCCATGCACCCATGCTCCAAAGTGTATCGCATGCGCCTCTGCGGTGCTCGTGATGTGTGGTGCCTGATGTCGTTTGACCACTGTCGTGGGTAGTAGATGAAAGAGTACACGTAGCTGCGCAAAAGTAACTCTGCCATCCATGAGCCATGAGAGAGCACAAACTTCGGGGTCCTTGGTGGGCACATCTACGCAGTCGCATACCAGGGGGTCAAAATCTATGCCCGCCTCATCGTCATCTATCGGCCTGCTCACAACTGCACAAATGCGCTCACGCTCCACAGCCTCCTCCTGTTGCTCTGGAGCATTTGCAACTAGAGGCTGTTTGACTGTAGCGCTGCACCTCTGCATGATCGCATTCTTTATGTCGAGCTGTCTGTACTTTGTTGCTCCCCGTGTCTCCGTGTCTTGACTGCGGCTGCGGCGACTGCTGCGGCTGCGATGTCGGAGCATCGCTTCCCTGGAGCTTGTGGTCACTGGTGCTGGTTCTCCAGCATCAACTGATTCACTTGCGTCTCCAGGCCTCGACGCTGCCAGATCATCCGGGTCAGTCCGATTCAGGAGTTGAGGTACGGAATGTCTGAGTTTATGTCCCCAGCTCATAGCCAAGCGTCCCTAAATTGAACATTCCAGGCACAAATGACAGCTCGTTCAGAACAATGGCGGCGGTAGCCAACAGCACAATGTTCTTCACAATGCGCATCACTCTTATGAAAAGAAACCCCTGCAGAATCCATGCTTGCACTGTGATTGCGTGAGCTCTTGTCATCACACACGGCATGCAGTGAACATGTCGGCACAGTCATGAGCATGAATCAACGCAAAGATTGAGGGCACTTGCTCTGGCATTGGAAATCGTTGTTCATAACACAACGCTCCGAGATGTGCAGCAGATCTGAGCAGCACGTAGCGATCGCCTCAGACCACCAGTAGGGCTCAGAGAATGCAACAGTGTTGAAGCATCACTGTCGGCAGGGCATTGCGACTGTTTCCGCCGACTGCATTGAACGGCTTGCGCGCCTCCGTCTCCCTGGAGATGCAGTCTGCTAAGCTGTAAACTCATAGAGCGCAAATGGAAATGTGCAAATCTGATTGAGCGCAAAAGCCTGTGCAAAGCCATGGTATGCAATGCAGTGCAATCGGAACGGCCTCTCAATCACAAGTTGGTGGCATTGCTCGGACCGATAGTCCCAATGAGCAGCAATGCCCTAACATCTCAGCCGTAGTACTCCTGGATTTGTTTCTGGATGTTGTTGGCGAGGTTGGATCGTCCCTGACGCTCGGGTCGTAGCGACATTCCAGCCAGCTGCGTCACGCTAAGTCCCGTCAGGAGAGCCAGGTGTTCACGAATCTGACTGGCAGATTCCCCATGAATGCATGTCTGCATGTTGAACATCAGCACCCGACCTGTCACGCGTTCTGTCAGCTCTCTGCTGGGATGAAACCTCATCACTGCTCCAGGCACCGCGGTCAGGGTCTTGAGAGCTTCGAACACAGCGGCTAGCTTCTCGTAGCCAACACGTTCGCGGCCCTGCTCTGGGACCAGGCGCTCCTGGTTGGGGTCCCATCTTACATACGACCAACTCTTTGTCTCCGGATCATACCATCCCAAGTTTTTGAGAACTGTCTGGTGCTCCTCTGACTCCTGCAGGGCCTGAAGTCTGGCGGAGAGCTCCTTGAATAGAGCCTTCAGTAGATCAACTCGCATGGGGTGATGCAGGA